TTTAAATCCGCCTTTGTCTGGAAGTTATGCAAGTGTTATGTGTCTCGTTGTTTTCCCGACCTGATTGATTGATTAGCTTTGCATGCAAGTAATTGCTTCTTCTAAGAAAACATTAACAATGCTTTTTCGGAGAATTATATGCATTATGGCTTCAGGAACCCTCAATTGGTGCCTTTGATATTACTTGTTTAGCCTCATCTTTTCTTTTTGTATATTGGAGTTGACCTGCTACTCCTCCGTTTCAATTTAGATGATGTTTGACTCGGCACGGAGTTTTAAGGAGAAAAAAAGAAAGACTTTTGAAACTTGTGGTCTTAAAAGTTTAAGGGTAAAAGCTTTGTGGGGCCATGACATTTTTTGTGGTTATAAAAGCTTCTCATTTAGGGTAAAATGGGCAAAAAAAAAAGTTTAAAGTTGAATTATTTTCAATTATAAAAATGTGGCATTCTTTTTGGAACGAACTATTTAGGAAAGTAAAAAGGACAGCCTGGTGCACTAAGCTCCCGCTATGCGCAGGGTCCGGGGAAGGGCCAGACCACAAAGATCTATAGTATGCAGTCTTGCCCTGCATTTTTGCAAGAGACTGTTTCCACAGCTTGAACTCGTGACCTCCTGGTCACATGGCAACAACTTTACCAGTTACGCCAAGGCTCCCCTTCAGATTTTGTGTCATCTAAATTGAAACGAAGGGGTATATCAGATTGCTGGTTCTACATTGAGCAACATGGTTAATGAGGATTTCATATAGTCGGCCCCATATAGCTTGGGATTGAGGCATAGTAATATTAGTAGTTCAGTTGCTGCTGTTGGAGTAAATGTGCTTGTCAAGGGAAAGCCTTTTTCATTTTGAGGGATTGGTGGTTTAGGATAAACAGAGCGGGTAGTCTGCTTTTTTCTTATATTTTTGGTGCTACTGGCCCTTTGGGCGGTAGATCACAAGCCTACGGAACAATATAGGATTAGGTGGCACTTCTTTTGTAGTGAATTGCTGAAAGTTAAAGCAAGTGTTATCTGTTCAATTGTTTTTCTTTTCTGACTGAATCTCTGTGCCAGTAATGCTTTGCTGAGCGACCAGTAACAAGTCAAAATATTATTTGATCTTCTTATTGCTCCTCTGATGTAGTGTTCTACTTTTCTACCCTGTGGAATTTTCACAGTTCTTATTGGTGCATGATATGTATGCATCAGGATACTTGATTTTACTTCAGAGTTTCTATTTTTGATTTCCTTCCTTAGGAGGAAATGGAAATGAGAGATGAGAAAATTATTTTTGTTTAGCTTGTTCTTTAGCAGTTTCTCATTACTTCCAATTTCATATGAAGGTAATTACGGCCTCTCATCTCTTTACCCACCTTAGCGATTTCAGTATATAGGTGACTGTTGAATAGATTTGGGTAAAACCTGCAAGTATTTCCGTCTCTGCTTTCTTGTATAACTGGTTTGACATTCCCTTACCTTCTGTCTTACTTCGTCTGTCTTCTTCTCACCCCAGTTAAATGGTAAAGATGGAATTTTGATCACAAAAATCCATGTGTCGCTGGTTTTTTGGTGAAATTAGCATTACTTAATTACTGAAGTTGAATGGTTGCAACTTGCGTTGGTTTGATTTAGGGCGGTGAAGGATCAGCTCCGAGAAGCTTGAATTGTTTCTAGTGAGCTTTTGCCTAACTTATCTGTACTTTATGATGGATAAAGCTTGAGCAACATAGTAATTCCACTATGCGTGAACATTTGCGGCTTTTCATGTATGAATTAATTGTCAATACTTAACCTTTGAGTCATACCTTTCAGCACGAACAATGGTTTTCTTGCAGCGTTTCTTATCATTGGCTGATATCTTTTTGTATTTTTTTTCTACTGCAGCTTTTTGCATATGATACTGTTAACAAGAACTTGTCACCTAAACTCGGAGAGCAACCCAAAATTCCAATTCCTGCTTCATTAGTTGCAGGAGCCTGTGCCGGAGTCAGCTCTACTTTACTGACATATCCTCTCGAGCTAGTCAAGACTCGATTGACGATTCAGGTAAAAATGAAAGTTGCTGTTGATAGCTTAAAGGTATTCTTCTGGAACTTTATATGAAAATAGTACGTGATTTATTGACCTTTGTTATCTGCAGAGAGAAGTTTACGATGGTTTATTTGATGCATTCGTAAAAATATTGAAAGAGGGTGGGCCTGGTGAGCTCTATAGAGGTCTCACTC